GGTAAGAATTGTTTTCCCTTTGAAGCATGTTGGTCCATTGCCTTCTGCTGTCTAGCGTCAGTGACAGGAAGTCATGAGTCAGTTTCTCATGTCCTTGTAGGTGACTTTGAGGCGAGCCTCTGGAAGCTTTTAGAATACTCAGTTTGTCCTTAGATGTTTGAAATTCAAGATGGTATGACCAGGTCTGGATCTTTTCCCATTAATCAGGCTGTCTACTCTGTGGCTCTTTTCACTCTAATGACATAGATTTTCTTTCGCTCTGAGACAATTTCATTTTTTTTATTGAAGTATAGTTGATTTATACTATTATGTGAGTTTCAGATTTTATTTGTAAGTTCTCTATTGATGCTTCTCTTTTACTTATTCACTTGTATTATTGTTCACCATTTATCTTTTCCTTTATAACTTTTCTTTACCTTTAGATCGTTCTGGTAAAGACAAGTAGAATGTTTTTACTTAACCAGCCTACTGAGCCTAAAAATGTAGCCTGGTCATCTAAATAATTCAACGTGGTTTCTGAAGTAAAACTATTCTGGACATTACTTGGAGTTTCATTGCAAGCAGTAGAAACCAATTTTGCCATTTAAAAAAAAAAAAACTTTATTGGCTGAGTCAAAGGAAGACGTGCATGATTCCATCTCCAGAAGGCCAGGTAATAGAGCGGCCTGGCAACTTCTGGGGTAGGAATGAATAGGCAGTTTCTTTTTAGAGTGTTGACGTCAGAACGATTCCCCTATGAACTTTTCGTTCATTGTGGCACCCAGCCTAAGATTTCAGGCTGCTAGGAGCGAAACCATTGCTTTGGCTTGATTTCACAAACTCCCTTTTTGGGAAGAGATGAGACCTTCATTGACAAGGTCACAATAAGCACAAAGAATGATGGACAGGCAGTTCCCGAAGGAAAAACAGAATTTTATCGTCAAAAAACAGAGCCCAAAACAGCCAGCATCCCCTCTATTGGGGGCGGATGAGCCAGCGTTCAGCTCTAACCCACTGGTTCCTTTCTCCTCCCAGTGCTGCCTCCTGTCCTGGTGCCAAGACACAGCGAGTACAACCCCCAGCTGAGCCTGCTGGCCAAGTTCCGCAGCGCGTCCCTGCACAGCGAGCCGCCCATGCCGCACAACGCCACCTACCCCGAGTCTTTTCAGCAGCCTCCGTGTGCCGCCTTCCCGCCCTCGCCCGGGCCCGCCTTCTCCCAGTCCCCCTGCACCGCCGGCTACCCCCACTCCCCGGGGAGCCCTTCCGAGCCCGAGAGCCCCTACCAGCACTCAGGTCAGTGAGAGCTGCCGTCCGCGGGGGACAGTCGTTGGGGGGGCCCTCAGCATCGTCATCTCTGTCTCTCACATTTGTATGGAGTGTACAGTTCACACAGCCCTCTCCCGTGGTTGGTCGGACCCTGCCCCCCGTCTAAAATGATCAGGACTGTACCCTTTCTGGAGCAGTCATCAGTTTCTTTTAATAAAATATGGAATATCCTGAGCTAACAAGTTCCTCTGGGGCGTGCAGAAGTGCATTGGGGCTGGTTGTTGCTATCCCCTCATTCGTTAATTCCTACGCTCATGTATTTAACAGGAATTTATTGAACTCTCATTATCTGCCAGCATTGCCTTTGGGTGCTTGTTCTGGTTCTGATCCCCTGGAAGTTCTCAGAAACGAAATGGATTTGAACAGCATCCCTGGGAATTTCCAGGGATTTTTTTTTAAGGAATTAAAAATAAGATTATAAAATACTTCTCTAACGGAAGTAGGAAGACGGCCTGAGAGCAAGCAATGTGGGGGATCAGCGCAGGCTTTTTCTCTCGCTGCCTCTTTCAGCAATCCAGGGGAGTCCCTTCCTGCAGAAGGTGGACATGGAGTTTCAGTAGGGCAGAGAGGGGGTCCAGCTCCAGCTGGCACATTCTCCCTTTTAGCTACCGGAAGCCAGCGCACGCAGCATCAAGAGATAGAGCTGGTCACTAAGCTCATTACAGAGAAGGTTTAGCTGTCTCTGTTTTGAAAGCCAGATAACAGACTTCTGCATTTGAGAAAAGCTAGACTAGCTCCAAGATTTGAAAATCTCATCATGAAGTCATTTGAACTCCATAACTCGTAAGTAGGAAGGAAAAGGAATCAACCCTTTAGTGAGGAGCTCAGGACAATCATCTTCTCCTGGAGGATTGTCCTGATGTCACGACAGAATGGCCTCTTTAGTGGGGGGCAGGGTATAGCTCAAGTGGTAGGGTGCGTGCTTAGCATGCACGTGGTCCTGGGTTCAATCCCCAGTACCTCCTCTAAAAATAAATAAATAAACCTAATTACCCCTCCACCAAATCTCTTAAAAAAGAAAAAAGAATGGCCTCCTTACAATTCTGGTCTCTCTGCAGCAGTAACACTACCCACCAAACCAAACCCAGGAGTTTAACAGCAGAGAGGTTGGACCAGGCTGTCTCTGTGTAGTCAGTCTGTCAGTTGGACGTTCCTTTGTTTCACTGCTTTCTTTTAGTTGACACACCACCCCTGCCCTATCAGGCCACCAAAGCCCCAGGGACCCAGAATGACCGATCTGTAGATGCCACAGCTGATAATCATAGCTGTTTTCCTAGTATTTCCTATTACCACCCCCGCTTCCCTAAAACAAATTGAAAAAAAAAAAAAGATAACAAAATGTGCTGACCTGCTAGTTCACATGTGCTTTAAGGGGCGGATGGCATGGTTTTGCATTTTAACTGTGGCATTCCTCTGTAGCATAGAGTGAATGTTTTGTGTGTCATCTTGGTTGGTAGAATAAGTACATTTTAACTGAACATTTACAGGTTTGTAGTCCTTGATGTTTTAGTGTGAAATTAGGTATTTAACGAGTTAGCGATTTGGTCCCATCTATGTCTTTACTATATATAACAGATTTATGGTGGTGTCCTTTATTTGGCTTACAAGGGGTGCTCTTTGAAATATATATACATAGGATTTTTACATAATTTTTTGTGTCTTATGATAGGCTAGATAAATGTTGCTCAACTTTAATGTTCATACAGACCATCTGATGATCTTGTATACATGCAGGTTTTGATTCCCTAGGTCTGGGGTGGGCTCCAAGAATCTGCATTCCTAACAACCCCCCAGGTGATGCAGGAGCTGCAGTCCCAGGAACCACACCGAGTGGGGAGGGTCTAGAGGAGTTTACTATTAAGCTTATCCTAGAATGAATACGTGAAGGCCTGTTTGTAAATCACATGACCACTCCCTAATTTATCTCTTTCATAAATTTGTATTTTAGTGCATATAGGGACACACTCTAGATATAAGAATTACTAGGATATTCAAAGAAAAGAAAGATACTATAATCAATAGAAAAGCAGAGAAAGAGCATGGGTGGCAAAGAAAGAAAAAAAGAAAGAAAAAAGGAAAGAAAAAAGGAAAGAAAGAAAAAACTCTGAATTTTTGTTACTGGCAACTTAACTTCAAAAAATTTGAGGTGAGACCAAAACATTCTTGGATTTCCTGATGAAACAGATCTCTCTCTTTAAAGTATTTTTAATGCCATAAAATAACGAAGCATCCTGTATGTACACAAAGGAGAATGTGAGTCTACGTGGAACCTTTTTTTTCATTCTTGAATAATTTAAAGTCCTATGCAGTATTTTTGGTTTGGTTTTTCTCATATCCAAACAATTATTTTCTCATCTTTAGGTTGTTAGAAAGGGATGCTCTTTGCCACAGGGATTCAGTTTGGCGCAGTAACGGTGACACGTCTCCCATCTGCAGAGATGAGGTTACTCGCCAGCCTTCCTTTGGGGGAAGTTGTGTTTCCTTTAGCGGCGTGAGGCTGACATGGCTCTGTTCATGTCATTGTTGCCTGCCCCCTCGATGCTCGTGAGCATGTTTACAAATGCTCCAAGTGTGGGAGTCACGAGGACGCTGCCCCTGTGCCACAGGTACGAGGACCAGACGAGCTGACTGCAGACAGCTTCTGTGAAAGAGACAGATTGGAAAAGATCGCACGGCAGCCTGCCTGGTCTTGCAGCTAGCTTTCTGGTGATCAGCAGCGTCCTCAGCTTCCCGTGGAGCCGTGAGCTGGGAGGCCTGCGCACGACAGTAGTGATGTGCTGTCTGGTTCGTTTTCTCTCAGATTTCCGGCCAGTTTGCTACGAGGAGCCGCAGCACTGGTGCTCCGTCGCCTACTATGAACTGAACAACCGCGTGGGGGAGACGTTCCAGGCCTCCTCCCGAAGCGTGCTTATCGACGGATTCACAGACCCTTCCAACAACAGGAACAGATTCTGTCTTGGACTTCTTTCTAATGTGAACAGAAACTCAACGATAGAAAACACCAGGAGACACATAGGAAAGGGTAAGAGTGACTACGTAATTCCTTCCGAATGTTCCTCGGGGCTAAAACGTGGAAATAGAAACAAGCCTTGGATTGGCTGCGTGAGCCAGTGGGGTGACCGCAGGGCCGGGAGCTGGGAGACCGTTGTTCTGGGTTATTGTTGGCAACAGCGTGGGCACTTTCAGGGCTTAGTCTCTCCACCTCTGAAGTCAGCGCAGCATCTCTTGGGGTGGGCGGTGTGGGACGGGTATTAGGAAGACAGCCAAGATGAGGACTGAGAAAGCAGGCTGAAACTGCTGAGTGGAAGTGTTAGGAGTTACTTTTGAATTGCCCCAAATGCACACAGGACAGCTTCTGAAGAAGAGGGGGTCTGGCTGGTGATTATTTATATCAGGTGAAGTTGCCTTTAGAGACCGAGAAGCTCGGTGGTTAAAAAACCACGACTTATTTCTGTTCGGAAACCTTTGGTAGGTGATTGGGTTCTCCTGTGTCCAGGTGTGGTTACAAGAGCTGAATAAACGCAGGGCTCACTTGGGGTCTGGCTGTGATGCTTTCGGAGTCCGTCTCATTGGCGTGATCAGTCCCAGCTGAGCATGAGGACTGGTTGAGGCTCTTTAAGTTATTTTCTTTTCTGTTTGAATGGTTGGCAGTGTCCGAATGATGCCTGCTTGTCCACTGTTATGCTCTGGAATCCCAGATGTAAGGAGCCTTCAGAGTCAGCTGATCTTTTCTGTCCCCACCCAGCACTGAGACCACCTTGGGAGGGAGCCGCGAGCCTTTTCTTTCAGATTTCCGGGGAGATCCATTATTTCCCTTGTGATGCTTCCTGTGTTCTTCCTAACGTACCTCCTAGGTGCCTCCTCTTGTAAACCTGAAGACCCTTGATTAGAAACACGTTGAATTTGTTCCGTGATGTTGATTCTTAATGGTGACTGACTGTTTCATCCTGTATCTTTCCATAGTTGCTTTGAGGTGGCTTACAGGAAACCTTTGTGGTTAAGTGATAAATGCAAAATAGAAAATGAGAAGCTGGGGGTAAATAATGGGGGAGAAGAATACAGGTATGGCATTGTGATTGTGATTGTGACTAAGATTTGCCTCTGGCCTTCCTGACAGGGAAGTCAGAAAAGGGAAACTTATATGTAATGTAATTTTTATCCCAAAAGGGGAAAATCTGTAGCCTTGCAACAGTTCACTGGTGCAGGGGAATCAAATCTTTGACTTTGACCTCACTAATAACAAAGTGCTTTAAACAGCCATTAGCGAGTTAGCGCTGGAATAGCAGAGGCAGAACCCAGCAGAAGCTGGACCGCTGCGTTCTAACATGAAGTTTGTCCGTATTCCTCCTTGAAAACCAGGCACACCACTTGAACTCTTTCGAATGACTGATAACTACCCCCATGGATTCGCCAACCTGTGTGAGGGACCCTGGCTGACACTTACACATATTAACTTTTACAGTCAGCCTACAAGTTAGGATTTCTTAGTCCCTAGTTACAGATGAGAGAACAGAAGCTCAGAGAGCTCAGTCGCTTACCCACGGCCCCACGAGTGATGTCGGGACCCGCACTGTGGCTCTGTCTTTTAGGCCCAGTTGTTCCCTCCTGCTGGAGGGGAGGGACCCACCTGTTTTTCTGTCCCTCTTAGCTCACTGGTCGAGGAATCGAATCTTTCCACGTGGAATGAAAATACTTACCATAAGCCACAGCTGCGACATGCCATAAGCAGCTCTGAGGTGTTGAAATTAAACCCAGATAGTACTAAAGTGATGACATTTTACAGTGATTTATTTGCAAATGTAAATCGGAGAAGATTTTACATTTTCCTTACATGACTTCTAGACAAGGAGACCACACTGAGCGACACAGAGCCCTGTGGGAGGCTCATAAGGGTCTTTATAGAAAAAAGGTGAGGAACTGTGACATATCATACCTCTCTTGTGACTGCACAAAATAAAGCAAAGGTTATTTCCTGATGGTTTGGGAATGATGAATGATGTAATAGCCAGTTTGGACCAGTGGAGTATAAAACATGCCTGCTTTTTTTAGAGTGGCTTTTAGGATAGCCCTGATTTCCGAATAATAAGGAAAACCGCAGTTTTGAATTGACGGCATGTGCGTGCGTGTGCTCTTAAGGTAGTTGAGGTTGGATTATATTTCTTAGAAATGCACGACTTAATATAATCATCACCAATAGTACTGTCATTTCTGAGCACCGTGATTTGTGCTGTAACTGAAGTCAGTGGCATTAACCCTCACAATGAGCCTCTGCCAGGTTCTTGGCGTGAAATTGACACGTGGAGGGGGACAGGCACACTTCTTTGCAGCTGTAGACATGCAGCACTGATCCTGTATTGAAGCTGTTCTTTCCCTAGTGGAAGAGAGAGGGGGGTCATTATAATAATTAATACCCGAGGCGTTAGCCCCAGGTACTGTCCTCATGGGGCAAGCCAAGACTTTTCTGAACATAAATATCATAAATTCTGAATCATCGAATTGCTTTTGGAAGAAATTTTTCATCTTTTTATGAATCTGTATTTTCTCACACATCTGAAGTTTTCTGTGGGGTTCTAGTATACTGCGCTTCCCTGTTTTATGAAAGGAATTATCCGGAGGCAACGGTTTGGTCTGTCAGTTCTTTACTGATCTGGGGATTGCTTCCTCTCCCAGTGGACTTAGTTTCCATCTTTCAAAATGTCCTTCCCATTCTGCCTTTGAATATGGACAAGGTTTCTTATCCTTGAAAAAGCAAATCCTAAAACATTTTAACACAGAATGTCTTACTGTTGCAGTCGTTACATATGATACTGCAGAACTCTTAATGTCATGAGAAAATCTTTACAGCATTTTAATACATGAAAAAAAGTTATAAGAGATCCTGTAGAGAGTCTGATCCCAATTTTGTTTAAAAATGCACATAAAAGGTTGGAAGGTATATAACAAACGTTAGCTTTATTTGTGGGCTGTGGGTTTGTGGCTGATTTTTATTCTTTGCGTCTCTGTATTGTCTAAATTTTCTCTGGCGGGCTTTCTTGCTCTTGCAAGGATGGGGTGGGCCCTGGCGTGTCCAGGCGTGCTCGGATCACTGCAGCAGTACTGGGAGAGGAAACCACGCTGCAGCCCAGCCCAGAAGAGTCATGAGTGTGTGAGGCAGTGTGGGGCATTCGTTGAGTTCTGCTTGGTCACCACATTGTCCAGAGAGACTTAAAGTCTTCAAGAACAGATTTAGGGGACTGGCTTTGTTCCCAGTGCAGAGGCAACTTTGTGTGATTTGGAAGGAACCTCTTACTCAAGAGAAGTTACTGCCATCTGCTGGAGAAGTTTTGTAATAATTATACAAATCTTAGACTGGGACACACCCTGGGGTTGTGAAGTGCACAGCTGCAGGGACAGTCCTGGGACGGGACCACCTCCATCCTCTGGAACAAAGCCCTGGTGTAATCTGGAAATCTTACGTTTATATTATTATTTTGATTGTGCATTAAAATCGTTTTTATTTTGGAAAATTTCAAAGATATGCAAAAATAGAGTCACATAGTAAATCTTCATATTACCGACTCCAGCCTCACCGAGTCCCATTCTGACTATTCTTTTCCTCTGTCCCTCCATGATATTTTTATGAGAATATTTTAAAGCAAATCTCAGACCTCATATTCTTTCTCCTGTATATTTAAGTATGTGTCTAACTACATAAGGAATTTCTAAAAGTATCATCATTATCCTCAGAAATATGTGCTTTCTTAAAGTTCCAGATGATCTTTACAATCAGCCAGATTTTAAAATAGTTGTGCAGGGGAAGATCGGTTACAAACTCCAGGGAAGGTGTTGAGTTTGTGCTCGTAAGTTCAGGATTTTTTCTATGCAGAGTGGAGAGGCATCAGGGGTCTCTGATCAGGCCAGTGGGGTAATGAGCTGTACTTTCCATGGGGTTATTTTTCCCTCCCTCCCACTCAGGAAGGGATCCATGCATGCTCCTTCCACTTTGGGATGCTGACTTCCCCCTCTGACTTTTAGTAGATTCCACAGCATCGGGACCCGCTCACCAGCCTAACCAACCCGCTCTCCTCCCAGCCTCCCCTCCGTCATTGCTCTCATTCGAGGCTGCAGATGACCACCAGAAGGAACCTTCAGTCTGGCTCAGGAGACCCAAATCAAACCCAAAGAGTCCTATTAACCACAGCCCAGGGCTCCAGACTCCCTATTCTCCTAAAAGGTGGGTGCAGGCACACACAGAGGGAAAGGTCAGATTAAGAAAGATGCAGCCCAGGAAGAGATGTGGTCCGAGGTGTAGGTGGAACTTGCCTGAGGACCACATTGCCTGACTTGTCTCCTATGGCACCGTCGTTTACCATTACTGCTCTCTGTCCTCTGTGGCGAGCGGGGAGCATCTCACACATGTGGTTTAAAGCCACTCTTCTGGCCTGTCAAATGGATGCAAGTAAAATCACTTGCCTACTGGACTCTAGGTGCTGCTGTCTCTAGCCAAAACCCAGCCCCCATTCACACCTTGTCCTGGTGCTCAGGGCAGGCTCCAGTTTCTCCAGGCGCATCCCGTGGGCTCTGCTCCCTCTTCTTGCTCAGGATCCTAAACTGCTGCCCATTGGCCAGCCTCTTCTCTGCTTTCTGTGCTCTGCCAACTTGTCTGTGGTTGCAGGTAAAATTTTAACAGGATTGAAAATCATCCCCTGAATAATGACCAGAGTCAGATAACAAAAATCTTATCTGTTCTCCTTAATAGGTTCTGGAAGGATTATACATTTGAAGGTGATTCAGTTCAAAGACATCCTGCACACTTAGCAGCCCCATGCTCTGACTTTCTCCACCTGCTCTCTTTGAAAAAACCACAGCCACCCCAGAGGCAGGCTTTCCCTGGGCGTCCTTAAAGGAAGTCAGCTTGGATTTGCCCCACCTCCCCCTCTACCTGTGGGTCCAGCCTAAGAACTAGGTCCCAGCCAATTAGGACCATCCTTCTGCTGACTTCTCACTCCAGGGCCACAGTGTCAAACCCCAGGCTGTCTAGGCGGTGAGAGAGGAAACTTGGCCTGAAAATCAAAACCTGTGCTTCCTCTTTGTGACCCTGGGTCAGTTTCTTCAGACAGTTTTGGCGTCTGTGGTTAGGATACGTGATACTGAAAACCATTCTTTCCCAAGCTTGTATTAAGGGAAAGGAGATGGGAAAAGGCAGCCATGAAGCTGGCGGGCAGTAGTCACCTGTGACGCAGAATTGCCTCCACTGATGCTCAGATCCTGACAGGCTGAGCGGCTCTGTCAGCACCGTTTCCTGAAAGCAGAGCCCTGCAGCTTGGGCTCCGGGAACCCCTGGAGGTCTGCATGCTCTACTGTTTTAAAATTTTGTATTTTCATTTTTAAAAGAGCTATAATCTGTCACTCTCAGTCTATTCAGGACCATTTCTGCAAACCCCTTGTCACTGCACGGTGAGTATATTTACAATCACGTTGATGCTAGCTTAGTGCTGGAGAAGTCTGTTTCTGGTAAAAGGTTGGACAGTGATCGTTCTGGTGTTTAGTCCTCACTAGACCAGAACATCTTCCTTGTCTCTAACCCCAGGCCCTTGCTGTCAATTTATGTTGAATCTTAAACCCAGACGTTTGGAGGGAAAGCATCAACTAAAGTTTACAGGGAGCGGCAGCGTCCTCAGGATGCTCTTTGCCGTTTAGCTCCAAGAACATGAGACAAAGGAGCATGGACTGCATTTGGATTGTGAGTCTTTATATGCTATCTGAAATGGTGGCATGAATGTCACTGTCCGTGTAGGTAAAAAAAAAAAAGCATTGTTTCTATGGTCTGCAATGGAATGCCATAAGCTTTAAAAGGGAATAGTTCTCTTTGAGGTATGTATTGAGAAAAATGGATTTACAGTTGTTGGTAAAATACAATTTAAACTTCTTGCTCCCTCTGAAGTGGACTTAGTGTATGCACCTAAGTAGCATTTCTATGGTATCATCTGCGTCCAGTTCTTGTTTTCTAAATCTGCATATGTACCTGAAGGACTCTCTGATGTTTTCTACGTTATGCATTTATTTTGCATCTAATATGAGATCTTCCTTTTAGAATGAACAAGCATGAGATGGAGAGTGACCAGAGTAGCCCAGGGGAGCCCGCATTGTTCTCAGCGGTGATTGTAAACCGGGGTTGCAGTTCGCTTTAAAATGGGCTCATGGGAAAAAATAACAGATTATAATGAAAACAAGTCAGCCTTTGGTGCACGCATTTTACTAGTCTATGATCAGTGATATTAAAATTAACCTCACGGGTGACAGTCATATCTCTTGAGGTTACAGAGCTGGGTGAGAAGGACATGGTGATACATCTAAGCTAAATGCGGGGCTGGCGTTTGAGGACTGTTTCTGCCTCGTAGGTGTGCATTTATACTACGTCGGGGGCGAGGTCTATGCCGAGTGCGTGAGTGACAGCAGCATCTTTGTGCAGAGCCGGAACTGCAACTACCAGCACGGCTTCCACCCGGCCACTGTTTGCAAGATCCCCAGCGGCTGCAGCCTCAAGATCTTCAACAACCAGCTGTTTGCTCAGCTGCTCGCTCAGTCCGTCCACCACGGATTTGAAGTCGTCTACGAGTTGACTAAGATGTGCACTATCCGGATGAGTTTTGTCAAGGTGAGGAGTACCTGCTTCCTGACTGTAAGGTAGAAAATGAAAAATAAAACGAAACCGAAAGCGCCCTTCAGTTGACGTGGCAGTCAGACAGCCCGTGCAAGTAGACAGCATTTGGGGGGTGGGGGGGTGTGGCTCTAATTAATTGTTTTTCAGAAGAGCTCCTCTATGAGTTTGAAATCTCTTGCTTAGCAATTTTAAGAAAATTCTTAAGCGTATTACTTTTGGAGGAAAACCAAGTTGAGATAGTTATCTGACTTTTTTTTAATGCAGAAGATAAAGTAACAATAATAACTGTATAGGACTTAATGCTACAGAGGTTTTTCCATCCCTTAAATTGCTAAGCACTATTGTCACTCACCAAATGTTGGCCAATTTCTGAATCAAATAAGACACTCTCCTTACTCTTACAAAGCATATAGGCGAACGGAGGAGATAATATTTACAAATAAGCTACAAAGGAGACAGAACTGACTCTAAGATAAGATAGTGTGATTTAAGTGCTGTTTTATAAAGGTTTAAACAAGCTGGGATAGAAACATTATGGAAGGTATGATTAATTCTGAGACAGTAGTAGTAGATGTTCTGTTTATATCTGTTGAATTTCTCAAATTAGATCTTGTTAAAGTTGATGTGAAGGTTGGAGAACAGAGGAAGGTACTTAGTGGGAAGGAAAACCAAACTGGATTTGCACATTGACACTAAAGACCTCAGTTTCATTGTCTACTGTTTCATCTCTTGCAAAGCACTTGCAAATAATGCTAATATTTCAAAATCTGAACTTGTTTATCAAACTATCAGTTTTCGAATTGTCACATATCCATCTAAGGAATCAGTATGGCTTGTTCCAAATTTTTTTAAAGTGAAATTTATTTATTAAGCTTTTAAAATTACTATGAAAAATAAGTGGGCTGTTTTTCTTATATCTATTATATTTATAATTTTAGTAATTATTAAAAAATAAGAATCAAAAATAGTTTCCAATTTAAAAAGTCTCCTTGAACCCATTTCTTTCATGGTGACAAAGCACTTTTTTTTCAGATTTACTGTTAAACTTTAAAAGCACTTTCACACTGTAAGGCAGTTAACAAATATCTGAAAATCTTTTCAAATGTTTTGATGCTTTATAGCCAGCAGAGGGCATTAAATTGCTAGTAATGAACAGTCATTTGAATTTTCTAAATTAGGATGAAATGCCAATATCTCAAAGGTAATTATTTCACTAAGATAAGCTTGCATAAAAATCTGATTTTTCTAAGATCAACTAGATGTATTTCTCAGATTGCAACATTTAAATTCATAAGCTACACAGTTCACAGGAAAGAAACTGTTACTCATATTGCAGGGACTTTAAAAAAATAAATCCTTAGCAAATATAACTACAAATAATAAGTTTAAAAGAAATCTAAGAGTTCCCATCAGAAGAAAAAAAATTGCAATCATGTGAGGTGCTTAATGTTGATGAAACTTATTATGGTAATCATTTCAAAACATATGCATATATCAGACCATTATGTTGTGCACCTAAAGCTACTAGTGTTGTATATCGATTACATCTGAATAAAAGTGGAAAAAGGAAGACTTAAAAAGAATGTAAAATATCTTATTGATAATTTCATAATGATAGGATCATATTTTGGTTTTACTGGGTTGAATAAAATGCATAATTAGAATTTAAATAAAGAATAAAAGAAATTATAGATGACTAAACACCGGTGGCTACCACTGGGAGGTGATGGACTAGACTAGATCATCTTCAAAGTCTCCTTCAACTCTGATTTTACTGATTCTAGGATGAATTCAGTCAGTCGACAAGTATTTACTGAGCACCTACCTTGTGCCGAACCAGGCGCCATTCTAGGCGTTGGGATACAGCAGTGATTACTCAGAGGTCTCTGCCCCCGTGGAATCAGGACTCTGGTAGGGAGAGACAGACGATAAACAACAGTTGTAACACAGGAGCTGAGTGGAAAGAGAAGGGTAGAACAGGGGAAGGGGACTGGAGTGCTGGGGAAGGGGTGGGTTGCATCTTTTCAGAAAGGTGGTCCGGGTAGACCTCATCAAAAAGGAGACACATCAGCGAAGACTTGAAGGAGACAGCAGAGTCATTTATAAAGATGTTTGGGGGAGGAGCAGTAGACTCGGAAGGAAGGGTGAGCCCTGGGGCAGCATGCCTGGACACTTGTAGGAGCAAGGAGGCTGCCCATAAGATGGGGCGCAATCACTCTTGGCTCCGTTCTTGCTTTTCAGGGTTGGGGAGCTGAGTACCATCGCCAGGATGTCACGAGCACCCCCTGCTGGATTGAGATCCACCTTCATGGACCACTGCAGTGGTTGGACAAAGTTCTGACTCAAATGGGCTCTCCCCACAACCCGATTTCTTCAGTGTCTTAACGGTCCTGTCTTAATCCACATTTCTATAGAATAGATGCTGTTGCAGGCAGTGGCTTATATCATTTCAGATTTGCAACTAACTGAAGTTTCTGCTTACAGGTGTAAATACATATAATATATACTACTCCTATTTTGTATCACCATGTGTTTCGTGCTTTCTGGTTAACTTGGTGCCAGTCCGATGCGATTTGAAAAGCAGGTTTGTCCCGCCTGTGTTCTAGTAAAGCAGCTTCTTTTCTGGGAGAAAACAAATGAGAGGCAACTGCGTGGATAGTGTTTGAAGGGTGTTGGCAGAATAAAGGCAGCTTTCAGCAGCCGTGTCATATAAGGCATGTTGTGTGGCTAGTCCAGAAAAAACACAGTAAAACTGTTCATGTTGCAGAAATCAGGAACTTAGCAGCACTAGAGCAAATAACACTTGAAAACAAAACAAAGCCCTGAGACCCATGTAAGTTTAAATAACCTCACTTTTAGTGCTACTGGCAAAAAAAAAAATATCAGGCTTGTAAAATCAGTTATGTAAGTCACGTGAACTTTCATTTCTGAAGTTGAAATACCTATAACTGGACTCTCGTGCTGATATGAATGGTACATTCTGAACAGATTTAAACTGTGATTGGAAAAGAGAAACTGTGAAGCTGAGAGTCGTGCTGCCTTGTCACCTACCAGTGCAAAAAAAAATGTCTAATATGGGAAGATAAATACGAAAATAACATGAAATGAGCTATATTCCCAAATTGCAAAATTAGAGCAGAACTTAGTCCACGAATCACCCACGGAGGTGCCTGCTTTCCACGTGGGAGATCAGGTTCCTGTGTCCCTGGTGGTTCATGTCAGGCCGCTCTGCAGCCTTTGGAGTCTGCAGCCGTGTGTGTGAGTCTCGTGTGCAGGAGGAGCAGGTGAAGTACGAGCACTGGACAGAAGCACCAGAGGTTTACTGATACCGCCCCACAGTCCCACGTTAAGTCTCTAGGCGAGGGCACTCTTTTTGCCACACTTTCCTCACATGTTGGCAAATACTAGTTACAGATTACCAAAATCATGTGATGAAGCCTTGGAGAAAATCTAGACACACTGCTAGCATCAAATTTATGAATTATTCAATGTAACATCTCTATTGATTAAATCACCTGCTGACCACATCTGGTAGCCTTTTGTAAAGCTACAGCCTCAAACCTGGAAATAACTTCCCAAATGAAATAATAATTTCATAATCCTTATCATTTCTGGGGAACAGTGGTACTGAATAACAGGACTTTGAGTGAATACGCACACAAAATCCAAAACCTGTTCTTATTTACCCTTGGATGATAAAGAGAGAATTCCCCAAATTTCTAGGTACTTTCCACCCACCAAAAACTTCATTGCTTGGAAAAATATTTCACATCCTCTTAAAAATGTATAATTTAAGAAGGTAATTATGCTTGTAACAGACGGTACTTCAGTGATCCAAGAGGTTTCTTCATTTATACAATTCTGTCTCATCTCTTTCTAGCATTAATGCACATAGTAGTTGTTTCTTGTTAAATTGTATTCAAGGTAGGAATGATCGTGTGAAAAAGATGTGTGAGTGAGCTAGTACTGTCACATCCTGTAATGACTAGTGTTATCTAATAGAAGCTTTCTATATACAATAGAAAATATTACATTTTACACTAAAGCTACGTGGTCCATTTAGCCTTTAGAAACCCCCCGTAGTGTACTGGTTTATCAGCTATGTGTTGTGCACTTGTATGTACCGGGCACAGTGTTCGGTACTGTGGAATCAAACGCAAACGAGACCGTCGCAGCCCTCTGGAGCTGAGAGTCTAGTAGTAAATCAGTAGAACCATCTTCATGTTTTTGAACTTTTAAAACAAAACAAAACAGGTGATCTTTCTTTTGCTTGAAAAAAATGGAATTGATTTCTTAATTAGCTCTATTTCGAAACAGATTTCCCTTCTCTTCTGAGCAGTCAGGTAATGGATAAAGACTTCCTTGGAAAAATGCTGCTTTTCTTCTGTGTCTCAAGGCTGGGTTTTATGTTTTGCTTTTTGTCTCCTTTTGCTTCTTTGTTTTCCAGTAATTCCCCATCTCCCCTCTTCTTGGAAAAGGCGTTAATATGGTGAAGTCTCCCTCATATGAGTACTGTTGCATGAAAGCGCATTAGGTACATTGATTTTTGCTCCAGAGATCAAACAGGGCTTTTTCAATCTCTCCATAAGTGGTCAAACTCATCCTTTGGTAATCTTATACCTTTACAGAATTAATCGGTAATGGTTGCTTATAAACTACATTAAAAAAAAATACTTTGGATTTTTCATGCAGCTTTGAGAAACCAGGACAGAATATCCCAGTGAACCTGAATTGTTTCTTGAAAAATAAATGGTTAAAGTGGTACATGTGCGCCATCACTAGCCTAGTCTCAGCAGAAGCCTTTATTAGGGGACATGAAATTCAGAGAATTTAGAATTGATGAGAAGTTAACCCTTCAGTCATTGTAACGTTTTCACGTTTTAACCAGACGTTGGAATTTTTTTACTGGCAAGGATTGTCAAAAATTGTAATGCAGTATTTGAGTTCAGGCTTCTGTATGTGCTCATTTAGCATTCACTCCCTGAGGAAAACAATCTAAAAAAATGCCATAGCATTTCTTCTATAGGATAACTGGCAACGTGGATGCGCTAAGCTGTTAATTGCATCAGCAACGCCAAACATGTTTCAGGTTGCCACGGACAAGGGTCATGCAACAGAGAATAATAACCTGGCCTGCTCACAAGACCCAGAACATTGTGTTGTTCAAGCCTGTTTTTTGGTGTTATTTTTCCTGTTAAAAAACTGAGATGTGAAAAGTTTGTTTTAGTTAGATGATATTTTAATACCTGCCAGTGCTTTGGAACTGTAAAGATGTCACTTTTCAATACATTTCCTTTATGTTTGTTTGGTTTGTTTGTTTGTTTTTTAACAGTATAAGTCAGAAAAGTTGGACAACAAACTAGCATTTAGAATCTCCTTTTCTTTGTTTTCTAAGGAACTGAATACCCCCATCACAGCAACAAAAGCATTTTATAAATACCACTTGCTAGACTTTAAGCACCGGCTTAACTCTATGTCCCAAATATTTGGTATATATAGTCAACAAAGAAAGCAAAATATAACACACATTCCAGATTTTGTCTTTTCCTGTTATGGATTTAACAGCTGAGCTATATGACAAGATTAGGTGATCCCGGCATATGTTAAGTTCAAATTAATGTAAAACAAACAAAAAAGAAACTTTCTATATAAGTAATGTTTTTGTTTACTATAGCTAGGCTTCAGTTATCCTTCAAATGAACACTTACACTGTTACCTGATTGTTTATAATAAAGAATGCTATACCTATACGTCTTTTGGCTCATTTTTTTCCCTGCAGACCTCAGAAGGATTCATTGCATTTGGATCCTTAAGATGCTCTTAATCCTATTTTGAAAATGGGATGTTTTTGAAGACCAACACCCTATAGAGAAATTAGGTAACAGTTTCGAATTAAACATCTTGGGATAACTGATGTTAAATACAGAATCTTGACATTACCTTGCAGTAATTTTATTTAATATATTTATTAAGCACATTTCCTACTCTGTATAATAGCATTATTCCCCTGGAGGGATGCACCGTTCCTGAAGGTACTGCGATACCAGGTCAGTGCGTGCAGTGGACGGAGCAAGCTCCTATTCCAATTCCTTGCTCCAAAAATCCATTTAATACATTGTCCTCGGATAGAGAATGTATCAGATATTAAACTGATAAGAACAGATACTACAGTTGATCTTAGCCAAAAGGCCGAGAAGCAATCCTTGCAGTAATTTTAGGAAGGATATGTACAGAAGCTATTTTCCCCTGGATATTAGCAAATATTAAATGATATTCAGTATATAGGAGAGAATGAACAATCTGATTATGGTAAACATCTGTACGTTACTAGATATTACCCATTAGAAAGGTGTTAAAGAAGGCTACTGCGGAAGAACTAAGATGAAATCCAGGAGGAATATGAACATACCTAAAAATGTAAATTCTGTCTTCCCTCCATTTAAATTTTCTGCCAGTCTATAAATGGACGGGGAAAAATATGCAAATATTTTGAGAATACTTAGCCTTTTACCAACTTGATCAAAGTTTTCCTTTTAAATTTTTAAAAAAGAAATGGAGCCCTTTATTCAAAAGAAACAATTTGTGGAATTCCAAAATATAAACATGTGAAAGACAAGCTACTCTGGCTCAGATGTAGGTGGAGGTTATGGTGGATAGGTGGATAATAGCTAGAGAAAGTCAGAAACTGAGGGAGTGTTAATGGTAAGAATACTAAAATTCCTATGTCAATTAGTTACTCAAAAGAAATCGGACTATTTGACAATCTCCGTATTAATTCTATTTTCTAATTCTAGAAAAAAAATGGGAAATTATAAATCAACAGCCATTTGAAAGATCCCAAATTGAGGCCTTTTAAGCCAAGACTGGAAACCCACAAGCCATAAAAGAAGTGTCAGATATGCTGAAATACTCAGAAATTGAAAGCTTATACAGCAAAAGATACTATAAAGACGTAAACAGGCCAATTTCAGAAGTGGATAAAAATGACACAGGGTTAATTTTTATAATAGTCACCAGACTTCTGCACATTGAGTAGAAAAAAGGAGCCTAATGGAAACAGACAAAGGATGTGTCTTAGCAATTCACAGAAGAGCAAATCTAAATAGCTTAACATAGGAAAGGGTGCTCGAATTTTCCAGTATTCAGGGAAATGCTAGTAAGTTTAACAGCGAGTGGTGCACAGCTGTCAGAAAGGCAAAAGTGAGAAAAGAGCAGTCACTCCTACTGCTGGCAAAGATGTGAGGAAAATACATTCTCCCTTGTTGCTGGTGGACACATGAAGTGATACAGCCTGCCGTGGGGAAAGGAATTAACAAGTGGAGTCATCCACACATCATTTCTGTCTGGATTCTTTCACGTGACATTATGGGAGAATCAGCTGTCTCACTGGGTGACTACACTCCCAACCAAAAATTCTATTATGAAGAAAGAAGGGGAAAAGGTTATCAGGAGACTTAGCGGGCTACTAGCTACTCACTGTCTCTTACTGACTTCAATGTATCTTTCTAATTTTTCCCCTTTTCCTAAAGCCTCTTATCAGCTTCTCTGCTCTTCTTGACTCCAGAATAGAAGATGGCTTTGCTGGAAAATGGAAGCTATCAATGACTTCATGTTATTACTGCAAATATGCTGCATCTATACATCCTCTATCTCCTCTAGCCTCAAACAAACTAGCACAGCATCACTCTGCCATATTCTGTCACAGGGCCTGTCTGGATTCAAGGGGGTAGAAAAATAAAATCTGGTTCTTAATAGGCCACATCACGTAAGGCCACATGTGGGAGCTTTTGTTGTGGCCATCAGAGCAGTCTACCATGCCTACCCTGAAAGCATTTGCACAGCTATTTAAAACCACAGTAATTATATATGGAACTGTGAGAAAATAATAAATTGTTGTTTGAAGCCACTAAACTTTCGGGTGATTTGTTATACAGCAATAACTACACAGCTAGGTGTATCAGTTACCTGTCTTAAGAATGCTGCATAACAAACCACCCCACAACTCTGTGGCTTACAATCATAAGCATTTATTATTGTTCACAAGTCTACAGGTCGGCAGGGTGGTTTTGCCAATTTGGGCCAGATCCAATGTACCTGAAGTTGGTGGGCAGGTTAGCTGGGGGACAGCCACTCTAGCACAGCCTCACTCACATGTCTGGCTGTTTATTGGCTACTTGTTGGTACAACAGAGGTGCCTGGGCCATGTGTCTTATTATCCTGCAGGATAGGCTGGTCTGGGTTTGTTACCATGGCAGCTGGGTAGGATTCTAAAAGAACAAGTGGAAGTGTTCAAAACCTTTGGAAGTCTACTCAGAACTGGCATATTATTATTTCCTCTATATTCTATTGGCCAAAATAAGTCACGAGGCCAGTCTTCCAGATTTAAGGGATAAATAAACTCACTCTCTCAGTGGATGGAACAGCAAAATCATACTGCAAGAGTTATAAATACATGGAGGGATAAAAATTTGGGGACACACTGCAAGAAATCTACCCCAAATAAGTAAAAATCATCACTGTTTTTATTTATATATATTTTATATATATATGTATGTGTGTGTGTGTATATATATATATATATATATATATATATATATATATATAAATACATATAATATATATATAAATTAGTTAATTCAATCCCTTTCCTTTCAATTCAGCTCTCACTGGACTGTTACTTTCCCTCCTTTCCTAATCCTCATACTCCACTGGAAGAAAGATAAACTGGTTTTTCTTTTTTTTACTACAAAAGTTAACTTACACTGTAGGGATTCAATAAAGCTCCCAACACCATAAGTAAGAAAAAAAACTAACAGTTAATCACAAATGTAAGTGAATTCCTCTGCATCTGGTGGGAAGCAACTAAGGATTAGAATAAGTGAGTAAGAGTAAGACAACTTAAAGGTCAACAACTGGACTTTAATGAATAGTTCTTGTAAAAGCATTTTTGCACAGATATGCAAGTATAAAACACATATTAAAAAATGAACAAAAGATTCCTTCTCTTCTTAAGTACTTCTTAGAAGAGCTATGACTGAAGTTTAACCTGATACGTATTTCAGAGCTTAAAACCCAAGAGACTAGCAAATTTTTGCATAGTTTAACTTGAGGCACATGCATTTACTGTCTTAACACTAGAAATACTTTCTTGAGATTTGATTTGATACTCCTGTTGGTAACTTTTGCCTTTTAAAAATCTTCCTAGGGAAAAATAAAAGTATCTATCCAGATTACCCATCACTCTCTGAACATTACTTAGGAACAACACGATCTTAAAATAGCTCAGTGTTGAAAAACAGACAAAATGCTGGAGTGTTACTCTTATTTTCAGTATCTCTTTTTGAAAAAAAATGAGTGTAAAAAATTATTTCTATCCTGACATTGGTGGGATGAGATACATTCATACTGTTCACAAATTCAACACACGAGAGTGTCTGCTTCAAAAGAGCTCGACACTAATAGGGAACATGAAGTGGAGAAGCCAACTTGAGGAGATGCACTCATTCCAGAGTACTTAGTTAACCCATCTCAGGTTTTACCAGCACATCTCTGAAAAGACAGGCACATCCTAATTTCACAGAGATTTAACAAGATCACTGTCCTTATAGGTATAAAATACGCTTACCTCTTTGACAGCTCCAGTCTTAACTGCAAAGAAGAGGTTATCACGAGAACCTGATTCCAGGTGCCCCAAATACATTTTATCATCACAAGTAGCTCTCAGTGTTTCTTAAGAGGAGTATTATTGGCATTGTGTGCAAGATAATTCTTAACTGTGGGGAACCACTCTGGACACTTAGCATTCCTGGCCCAGTCACTAAAACCCATCAGTTTTCAAGGTCACTGTGACAAGCAAAAACACATCCCCATACATTTCCAACTGCCCCTTGATAAGAACCACTGAGCTAGGTGATCCAAGATCAATATCTATTGACTTCGTGACTTCCACAGAAAGCAACTGCTTCAATACCTTCAGTAACAATGACTGAAGAAAAACACTTTGTTTAAAAAAAATGTGATTAAATATTATTTTGGAAAGATAAGTTGATTCAAATCCATGGTAATTTGAAAGGATCACGTGCACAATGTGCAATAATCATTTGTCCTCAAACACACACGTACATTTACAGGAAAATGACTGTTTATGTTCTACTGGCATATCTCACCCCACTTATCTTTAGTATAAAAATATGTCCATCTACTAAAAGAAGGTAAAAAAACATGTCAAGCTGGATAAATTCCCTCACACCGATGTTCCTGGAAACTGTTGTTGTCTTTGCTCCAAAACTTGCTGATTTAATAGTTGTTGCTGTTTCTGTAAAAATTGCACCACTTCTGGACTTCTTAGTAATGACTTAAAAAGGAAAAAGAAAAAATATATTTATTAATATTCTTATGGGATTAGATTGTATTCACGCTATAAAATTACTCTGATACATCATCACACAAGATATAATATGCTTACAAAACAAGTCTTTGCATCTGATGCACTGCAATTAAACTGCAAACTAATAATAAAATTTGATGTCCTACACCAAAATACTAAAACCTAAAAATAATGGGTGAAACCCGATCTTACTGGTGACTTCACTTACAAAGAAAATGCTTTTATGACATGCCAGCATGTATACGCTTTATGAACATCAGAGCGAAGAGCCAAGAACAGCACTGGTCCACGATTACAGCAAGAAAAAAAGGAAACGAAAAGGCGCCCATGTGAACACGGCAGTTAAATATCAGTTTAAAAATACATACACGTAAGACTAGTACTGGAACTCAAGTTCCTCTCACTAGCTTACAAAGTTTTTCTGAAGAAATTAAAAATTATGGATGTGTGTGTATAGGTATATATGTATTAATAAAAGTAATATTAGCACATTACCAAAATTTCAGAAAATACAACTGCTCTAAAACAACCAATATTTTTCTGCACACTTACCACCTTTAAATATAGTTATAATTATATAACAAAAACAACAGACTATGGCTAATATGTCTTTATTGTAATAAAATGCTTATATAAATTAATGAAGAAAAAAACTTTGGACCCAATAAACTGAACAAGATAAACCAAACACAGTGGAAATACTATCATTAAATCCTGATTTTTAGAATTTAATATTCTAGTATAGTACATTTTCTATTTATTAAATAGTTTTGTTTAAAATTTATTTGTAAAGACTGCCCAACCTTCTATTAAATAAGTAAATGCACAATAGTCTACTTAGCTGTTATGAGACTGTTGAAAAAGGAGGTTGTTTGAACTATTATTTTACTATTTGTGGTGAATACATTTCTGGCAACATCCTTATGCTTAACTTTGTCCATATTTAGGATTCATTTCTTGCAAGTGTCTTCATGGTAAGTATGATTTCTGAGTGAAGGGATGACCACTTTAAGGACTCCTGACACGTACCGCCCAGCTGCTTTCTAAAGTGTTGTACCAGCATGTGGTGGCGTCAGCAGAATAAGAGTGCGCACCTCATGGAAACCTCCACATCACTGTGTGTTACCACTTAAATAATTTGCACTCATTGTACTGTTTATTTCATGATTTTTATTGATATTAAATACCTTTCCATTTCATTTAATGGAAGCATTTCTTCTTTTTTTCCTGTTTATATTTTTTGCAATGTGTTAAAGCCAAAATTTTTTCCTCATCAACTTGTATGAATATTTTGTATAACAAAAATATCAGCCACATGAACCAGTCTTTTATATCTCTCGCAAATATTTTTCCTATGTTATTATGAAGTTTGCATATTTTTACTGCCATTTTTGACTACAGTCTTCATTTTTATGTAGTCAAGTTCAAATTTTCTTTATAATCTTGTCTTTATCAGATTCCAGCGTGTATTCTATTCTGATGACCAGTTCAACAGGTTTTAAAATCTCAAAAGCTAAATAGTTCCATTTATAACAAACAGATATTTACCAGTCTTTTCTGATTTAACACTTGTTCTAAAAGAGTAGGTCTTGCAGGTCGATCCCCGAAAGATCCTGTTCTTTGTTTAACAATGGAGAGTAAGTTATCTGCACTTTCCTGAGATAAAAGATAAAATGCAAATAGGATTAAATGCTGATAGAATAATCCATGATTAGAAGCATTTCACTGATGTAATGGATAGGTCTTTGCCTCTCTTCCTTCTTGTCCAGTCCCTGTGGGAAGTTGCGAAAGTCCCTTTTTAAGGCGCAGGCAAAGTGTTGGCAGTTAATTTTAGATAACACTCCTCACTCCCTCTCCCTCCAGGATTTCCAAGCTGGGATCTTCAGTCTCTAGAAGGTCTCAAAATCAATAGTGGGGCAGGGGTAGGGATAGGGGACCTATTTTATCATTTGTGAGTGATTTTCGATACTACCAAAAGAAAGACAAATGGAAACTGCACATTCTCTTCAGATAGAGCTATCCAGGCCAGAACAAAGGTTGCCTGCCTTTGGATGGCATATATGAACTCAAAGGCAATTTATATAGTGCTAATGGACAGTCTTTATAGCTTTTTGCCCAACAAAACAAGTAACAAACAAATTAACAACAAAAACATGGCAGGCCAGTAAAATATTACTTAAAGAAGCAACTGATAGACAAAGCTTTCAAAATTTAGAAGTCACCAGGAGAAAAATGATAAACTGGCTCTGAAAAGACTGCAAGCACTGGTATAAGTAGCCTCCTGCCAAGATGACATGATACTCTGCTCCATCCTGACTCAAGCAAGATCAGCAGCGCTCCCTCCCTAATGTGCATCCCCAGTTACCTGATAGAATCGTCAATATTTATGAATTTCCAGGCTAGCAAAATATTGTTCTAGTTTACGGAAACATTTTGGCTCTTATAAAACCATGATACAATACTGAGCACTTCCAAAAATTCTGACTAGACATAATATAAATAGAAAACTATAAATGTTTCATACATATATAAATTCACATAAGCCGTTCCTTGTATGAATTTACTCTTATCTCTCTGCTCTTTATTTAGGTTATTACTGAAGCTAGTTTTCTCTCCTGACCGTCTCTCTACTGGCCTCCGAGTTTCCTTTTAGAATATCGCTTCTCTCTCTTTCACTATTAAGTTTATCAATCTGATGCTAAAAAACATTCAATCCCTAAACATCTTAGGTCTCACAATGGAAAAAACTGTAAAGAGAGTATTCTACTACCCAGAGAGAGCAAAAATTTCTTCCTTCCTCTTTCCCCATAGGATTAACTACTTATGGGACTGTTTCAATGGGACTGTTTCACTTATGTGCACAAGAAGTGGAATGCTGAAATCAATGTATTCTTACAACCTCACACAAAGCATATGTAGATTCAGAATGTTAATAACACAAAAATCAGAAGCATGTAATGAAAATAACCTTGAGTCATCCAGTCCAAACTTCTACAAGTGCTGGAATTTCATTTTCAAAAATTTTCAACAGTTTTTGTCCTAAGGAGTTACCAACTTTTGGTTTTGAATAACTGACATTTAGGGAGCATTTACTTAGGTTCAGCTGAAATATATATCCCTTGTGACGTCACCTAAAAGTCCTAGTTACTTCAGAACTATGCAAAATAAATCTGCTTCTTCCAAATAATCGCCTTTTAGATATCTAACGATACTGCTCAATCCCACAGGTCAGTTCTTTTATCCCTGGTTCTTCAATGTGTCTCTTACACAGCACAATTTCTAGACACATCAACTAAATATTATATACATTTGTTCCTCATTTAACCTTGATTTGTGTAAGAAATACTGATCGTTAAATACCTTAATCTCCAAGTTTGCTGCTCACACTATGGCAGAAGACCCCGTCACCACCTGTCAGTCCTCCTGTAATCATCTCCTAACAAGTCTTTAAATTTACAGACCCTTCACTTTAATTCACCCCATCAGAGTAGGAGCCCCTGTCACTCTCTAATTAGAAACTTTCATTTGAAGACTTCAAATTCAAATCCCATAGCCTGGCATTCAATACCATTCTCAAACTGGCTTCAAACTCTTTCCAAATTTGTCTTTCGTGAACTTTCCACATAAATATTCCACTTGAGTTAGAACAGTCCCCTTGCTGTCTGCCCACAAGTGTCTTCTGTATTCCCACTTCCCTTCCTTTATGAAGACGTGCTTCTCTTTTTACCACAAAAATTCTAGGGAAGCAGTACAGCATGGGGATGAGAGTGAAGGCTCTAGAATCAGATTGCTTGGGTTTGAGTACTTGCTGGCTGGATGAGCTAGGCCAAGTTACTCAACCTCTCTGCGCCTCGTATTTTACGTATGGGAACTGAAGTACCTGTCTCATCGCTGAAGGGTCTGAGACTCCACTCATGGCACAGCACAGTGCCTGGCACGTAAGAAACTTACCAGATTAAGCGTAAACTTTCAGCGCCCTTTCTGGCTTATACTGAGTTGTATTTTCTCTGCAAAGAATATCTCAGCCTACAATATCGCCACTACTAAAGCTGCGCTGTAAAGTTGGCCCTTACTGTAACCTGACTGTCCCCATTAGTTATTTTCTTTACACTCAGTTCAACAAAGATAAATACTTGCAGCTGTTGATTCCTCAGAGCTGGTGAAGTGTCCCATAATACAAATGGCTAGTATCTGCTGCTTATAGCAATGAATTCTCTTCCCTAAAAAATCATGCAAACTACTTTAGAGTAGGAAAACTAAGATTCTTTTTGTTGGGGGAGGTGGAGGAGGAGACTAACTCAATGTCTGTTTCCTTTCATACATTTTCCTCAAATTGTAGATGTAAGTGCTAAACAATCAAAAAAAGAACGGAGCTACAGGTAAAATATTTCTTTCTTGAAAAGAAGTATATTATCTCCTCTCTCTGGAAAGAATTCTGGGGTGAATGAGTACCTTTGGAACAAACAGAGAGGCAAATGACTATCCTTACTTTCATTCTGTAATAAGCAAGATGCTTATTTACTGAGAATTGGGGCACTAAGAGTAAAATTAACTGAGAACAGAAAACTAAGCATAGGGTACTAAGAATAGAGTATTGAGAATAGGGTTAACAGAGAATTTAACATTAAGAACACTAAAAGTTACTCCTAGTAGGGGTACTGAGAACAGGGTACTAACACTAGGTATACTGAGAAAAGGATACTAAGAATAGGGTAGTGAAAACAGGAAGAGACTACCTTCTCCAAAGTACCAATTTCATCTAGGTTCCTAATTCTCTCTGCCTGCTCCTCCACTGATGAATCAGATCAATCATTTACTATCTGTCCTTCCAGCCCATATCCCAGATCTTTGAAATAACAGCTTTGCTCACATGTCAATCATTTTCACTGAAATGTATTCATCTATCACAAGGATGCATCAGAACTCTTAAGACTTTTCACACGTGTGTATAAACTTCAATTTAGGGCAAGCACTCACTAACTCCGAGCCACAAGTCCAGCCACTGCCACCTGGCCCGTTTAGGAGCCGGTGGGCAGGCGCCGGGAATGCAGTCTGCCTAAGAGTGGGGTTTCCTCTTCCACCTCCCACTCCCCCAGACCCCAGATGATACCTCCAGTTTGACGTTTCCTGAGCTGCCAGCCGAGGCGGCCCCACCACAGTTCAGGGCCTGATCACTTTTCTTCTTCTTGTACTTGTCCTTGTACATCTTGTTGCGGTGTTTTTTGCACATCCACGGCTTGCGCTGCTTGGCCACCTGGCTCGTGGTCTCGTTGCAGCCCTCATAGGTGCAGGTCTTGCTCATGCTGCCCCCGCCGCTGCCCCGTCTCCGGGCTCCCCCGCTGCCGCCTTCGCCCCCCGAGTGAGTTTCCTCGTCTTCCAGATCCTCCAAACTAGCCGTGCTCTCGCCTCCCCCCGGGGGGTCCGATGTGTCCAGCAGGTCGGCTTCGTCCTCGCCTGCCTCCTCCTCGCCATCCCCTGCCACTTCACACAGGTACTGAATCGGCTTGCCCGCCCCGGCGCTGCCCCCTAGGGCCGAAGCCTGACTCAGGACGCCCTCGGCCGCAGCCTCGTCCTGCCCTCCACACGGGTGCATCACCAGCAGGGTGAACTGCGAGGCCGGGGCCGGGACGGGGGCTGGAGCC